GAGAGAGCCATGGGAATTCTTCCACGGGGTCAGGGGTAGTTTTTCTTTAGCCCGGAGATTTAACGTGGATGGTCCCGGATATCCCTCACCCATTCATCGACCAAATGCACAGCCATGCAGCCACGGGAAGGGATTCCACGCGTGGCAGCTGCCCAGGGAATGGGCGGGGATCGCGTGGGGATATCGGGCAACCAAATGAGCCCTACTAAAAGTGGATGGCTATCAAATACTCAAAGATAATGTGTGATCCGCGGTCTCGACTGCCGCTATGAAAATTGGGCAAACATGCTCGTATCAATGATAACTTAGCGAGATCATAATCGTTGATTAGCTCTAGCAAATGTTGTTTGTGCTAGTGGAACTCTTTCATTTGGACTTATGGAGATGCCAGTAAAATCTAAAATGTCAATGCCACAATGAAGTTACTTATGCCAGAAGAGTAATAACCTCGATTCAAGATGAAATTAAGGAGGATAAATTGGTGCAACATGAGAAGAAGAAAAATGCATTATAGGTGCGGAAGAACTTATATTTTGGTTAAAGTTGAAAACATTTTTTTAGACATTAAAGTTGAAAACATTTACTACCAGACTTACATTGTGGACCCAAGAGAGTAGCCGGGCCCAAGGAAAGAGTACAGAGAATCACCAATGCCACCGCATTAATCAATGCAAAGAATGCAGACGCACTCCATATCCATCACTCACCTCACCGGGGCACAATCACAGGGTTGCAAGCGGGCAACCGCCCATGGCTGTACTCTTCCTGAGGCGTCCTTTTCCCCCTATTTAACTCAGCTCCTCCGTCGCTTTCCACCTCCCGCCTCCCGTGTGTGATGCGTCAGGGCTCGCTCACATATCGCCATTGCCACTCCACTGTGCGCGCGTAGGCATTCTAGCCAGCGTAGAGTAGTGGTTAGAGCGACCAGTAGCAGCCGCCCAGTTAATACTCACGCTAGGTAAAGATACTGGATGTATCCCACGATCGACTAATCCTTGTGCTTTCTCATCGATATATATATTGGCCCAAACACTAATCTTATCCCTTCCTTCTCGAACGATTCTCCACTTGCATACGCGCACCCCGGCCGGGCCGAGCTCCTTTTCGCGAGAGGAAGCAGCTGGCCACTTAACTTGCTCTCGTGCTCACCTAGCTAGCTGCCTAGCTAACACCCAGCTGCCCTAGCCCCTAGCTAGCTAGCAACCTATGCGAATTGGGGAGGAGGCATGAGCAGTAGACACGAGGGCGGCGGCCATGGCGCCGCCGCGGCGGCGGCGGGAGGAGCTGGCGTGGGGAGTATCAAGGAGGGCGGCGGCCGGGACGCGCACGAGGACGACCTGGTCATGCCGGGGTTCCGGTTCCACCCGACGGAGGAGGAGCTCATCGAGTTCTACCTCCGCCGCAAGGTGGAGGGCAAGCGCTTCAATGTCGAGCTCATCACCTTCCTCGACCTCTACCGCTACGACCCCTGGGAGCTCCCAGGTCTGGAACACAATCACTCAATTCAATTGCCGTTTTCAGAATTCAGATCTCTGTGCTGAATTTCTCATGCGTGTGTGTGTGGCTGACCGGCGACTGCAGCGCTGGCGGCGATTGGGGAGAAGGAGTGGTTCTTCTACGTGCCGAGGGACCGCAAGTACCGGAACGGGGACAGGCCCAACCGGGTGACGGCGTCGGGGTACTGGAAGGCGACGGGGGCGGACAGGATGATCCGGGCGGAGAACAACCGCTCCATCGGGCTCAAGAAGACGCTCGTCTTCTACTCCGGCAAGGCGCCCAAGGGCGTCCGCAGCAGCTGGATCATGAACGAGTACCGCCTCCCCACCGCCGACACCGACCGATACCACAAGGTATATCCTAGCTATATTATAGCATCTCCTAGAAATTCTCCTCCTGATCTATCCATCTGCGCAAGAAACGGCCGGCCGGAATGATTAATCTGCAGGTAATTTCATTAGAAGACATGAACTAGGGTTTGTGCTGCGCCTGTAGTCCTGTACTACTACTAGTTCTTTGATGTTGGGTGCCAATTTTGGGGCATCTAATTTTGCCTTTATTGTACTTCTTGTGCATATATACGCGGTTTCAGATCTACAAGTAATCAGCTAGCTAGGGCTTCAATCTTCTTCATCTTACATACTTGCACCCTGGTGTTCTTGTCATGAACAACCTATACGCACTCGATTGTATATCTATACTAGCTAGCATCTTGAACATATGGCTATGAAGAACCTAGAATTCCATCCTAGATTCCTCAATCTTTTTGACCGGAATCAATTGTAGTCAAGTTTACAATTGAATTTTAACTAGAGAGCAGACATCGTCCTCAATTCTTCGCATGCGACATTTCCTTGTGCGATCGATCCTCACGTGTTACGTCCATGAATTTGCAGACAGAAATCTCTCTCTGCCGCGTCTACAAGCGCACCGGCATCGACGACGGCCGTGGCCACCCCTCCTCGGCGCGGTCGACGATGCCCTCCCGCCGCGGCGCTGAGGCACGACAGGACAACAGACAAGGGTCATCGTCGACGTCCACGCCCACGCCGCCGCCGACTCCATCCAAGCTCCAACTTCTACAAGCAGGCGAGTGCACGTCGCCGCCGGCGCCCATGACCGATCACGCCCAAACGCACAGGCCGGCGGCTCCAAGGCAGCAGCTAGCAGCCGCCGTCAAGCCCTCAGGTGGCTCATTAGGATACCTACAGTCAACCGCGGCGGCCGGCGAACATCATCAGCAGGAGGGAGCCGCGGCTTTGCTTTACCAGCAGTACTCCAAGAGCACAAACACCTTCGCTTCCACGTACTCGCTGCTCAACCTGGTGAACGCGGCCTCCATGGGCGTCGCCTCCGCCGCGGCCATCGACGAGCTGAGCACGCTGGTGGGCCACGGCGCCACCCAGCTGCCGTCCTACCACAGCCCCGCGTCGTCCGGCGGCCACCACGACCACTTCGTCGTTCCCCTGCCGGCGCCGCCGTCGCAGCCAATTACGCCGCTGGGGACGCTGCCGATGTCGCTGGCCGCCATCTCCGACAAGATCTGGGACTGGAACCCGATCCCCGACGCGGCGGCGGGCAGAGATTACGGTGGCGCCGGCTTCAAGTGACGGATCAAGGGAAGCGCGTGCGCGGCAACAGTGCATGCACCCGTGCATGGCTAGCTGTGCAATTGGTACCACTCCACCTCTTGTACACCTCTCTCTCTCTCTCTCTCTCTCTCTCTCTCTCTCTCTCTCTCTCTCCACAGTTATTATTCTTCCGAGTAAACGAACAATTAGACCATTATAGCATTCTTGGCCAGTCCATATATAGATCACCCCATCTTCTCAGGTATCATCAAGAATTCAGGATAGATAATTTGTAATTCCTGATGAGTTCCATATAATAACCTCGTCGATTTGACAAGATACACATGCATGTGTTACTGACAATGTAGGACCTGGATGGGCGCATGTACTTGCATGTGTCTAGTGAAAAGTGCCTCGTTTTTAACTGTCTGACTTTGGACACATAAAATAATGCCATGCCGCCAGCTGCATGATTGGGCGATGACCATGGCAGAGATTGCCTCATCGGAATGATTAGGAGAGAGTGAGAACTTGCAGGCCGGGGGTGCTGTCGGGGTGTACTACAGGACCGTGTCAGAGATGGATGTGAGGATTATACTGGCCTGCTGCAATCATGTGAGCGCAACATTTGTCTTTTCTCTCTTCTCCCTCTCTCTGCATGCTCTCTGCATATACAGTCGGAGCACTGTGTTCTCTTGCCATGGTTTGTTGGATTTTTGTTAGTGCTATCATGGATTATTGGATTAGCTTGCTTGTCAGAGCGTGTCATGGACTCACTCACTCACACACTCACCGGTGGATGGTACGTACGGCCAGGCGGTGTCGTCCCAGTTTGGGCCTCGCAGATGTGTGTGGGGATGGAAGAAATGCACCGCCAAATTGGTGTGGGAGATAAGATACCTCCTGTCTACCTAGCTACTTGGCCCGTGCATGAGATGAAATCGATACCTTGGATAGGACAGTCTATACTCGTAGGGAGCAAAGCTGCTTCTGAAATATATATTGCTGGTCTTGGACTCTTGGTACTTTTAGATTCTCTTCCTCTTGTTATGTTATGTATGTAGGTGCTCACGAGAACTACTTTTCAGTTTGCGTAATGAAGTTGTGCATCTGAAGTGGTACTCATGACTAGTGTGATAACATGTCCATATGTGTCGACCCATGCTGATGCTGTATATATAGTGTGTACCCATATGTCGACATGTGTACAGCGCAACGAGGGAGGATGTTCTTACACTATCACTAAGATTTTGCGAGCCCACGATTTTCTTAATCAGTTGATATAAAGCACCACATGAAAACTAAAATCCTTGAACAAGCACGAACAGCTACATATAACTGCAATTCTTGTACCAAGGGAGGGCCTTATATCCCTCCCATAGTTATGTCCATGTCTATATATACGGCAATAGGGTTTGCGAGATCCACGTAGGGTAATATATAGCTATTTTGCAATTCGACGCAATACTATTGTATGATTGGAGAACGATACTCTTAAAAAATGTACTATGGGGACCTTCCCGCCTTGACATTGTCCATCCTCTGCCCATATGCAGATATACTAAATATTGGACTAACATGTGATATACGTTAATGTCAACACCAATCAAAGTAAATTGATTGAAAGCGATTAGGGTGGTTTTGACAGCTTATCACAAAAAAAGTAATCTTGATGTGCCTATCATACATAGTTCATACCTTGCACAAAATAATAAACGAATGATTTAAATGAAACCACTTTCAAGGGTATAATACAAAAGATCAAACATAATGTGGAGGCACGGTAGGAATTTGGTGTAAATTCCTGCTTATACCCACTAGTTTTGTCCTTGTGACAACATTTACCTATTTAGAATATCTTGCAACATTTTTAGCCCTTAGTGTGACCTTGTGTTGATTTTCATACTTACTCCTTCCATTCGAGAATATAAGGTGCATCAGTTTTCATGCAAGTCAAATTTTTGTGCGTTGCCCAAAATTATATAATAGAATATCAACATCTTCAATCCAAAATAAATAAAATATGAAAATACTTTTTGTGATATTTACATATTGATACTTTTTCTAAATACTTGGTCAAACTCACACATGGTTGACTTAAATAAGACTAGTAGACCTTATATTTTGGAACAGAGGAAGTATTATTTTCCTCAAACTGTCATGACCAATACATGTCAGGATGACGTGGTAGCTGAATAGGTCGATAACTCATACCCCAATTGGATGCCGGTTTATTCTACGTGGCAGAGGTCTAGTGTGGTGAAGCAGTATCTGTTGGACAAAATTAACACGGTTTCATATAATTCAATTTAATTGGATGGTATTTGACATGATTCGATAATGCCCCTAGCAAGTACTAGCACGTTCTCCTAACAAGTGGATTTATTTATGTAATAAACAAGTGTATTTAGCCTTTTGGTTTGGAGAAAATGGTATGATAGGGTAAAACCTGGCAC